AAGAGAGAGGGGGGGGGAGGAGGGGAGTATTTGAATTCACCGGATGATGATATAACGTTACCCTAGTGTACTCGACTTTGGCCACTGACCACTTAGTCTGTTGTCTCCAAGAAGTTAAGACATTGTAGAGGCTGTCGGTACAGGATATTGCGAGGCCAAAATTTCATAGCCACCGACCACAATGATGTTACAACCCAACTCCTCAGGTAATTCCAAAAAGTGAAGTGGTCCCTTTTCAATTGCACGTGTACCTGCCCCCTCCCCTGTGCTGTCTTTGCTGTAAAGTGATTTACCCCCCCCTGTAAGTGAAGGGAGGTGTGGTTTTTCTTACTCTTTTTTTCGGGGGGGGGGGGGGGGGTGTTTTTTTTGCCAGGCTCAGAGAACGTTCCCCACTCCTACACCCACCCCCACAGAGAGAAAAGAATTATGATCATAATGGTAAATTAATTAGATATATAAAAATAATTATTTTGAATACATGTATATTACTTTTTTTTCGCAGAAAAAAATTTCAAGAAGTAATAGTTTATACAGGTAGACAAATTAAAACTGATTCTGCAAGACTGTACTGTAAACTTTGTAATTGGTTCTGTTTGATATCAAGGTCTGGTTTTGAACGCGGCAGACTTTGTTGGTTCTGCTGTTTTAAAACTCTGTTATACAGTCGAGTCTGCTCTAACAAACGCCTGTCCAGTACAATCACCTTTACAAATAACCATTCTACCCCCACCACCCACCCCCCGTTTTGCGTTTTTGAAATTATGACACTGTCCGAAAAGGACAACCTTTGTCTAAGAAGACCATTATTATCTCCAGAAAAAAAGGTGGTCGTATTAGGCAGGTTCTGGCGTAATGTGAATTGTGTTTGATGTGAGATTGCTGTTGGGTATGCACTTCCGCACAAACTATATATTCATATGCACACCGTTTATTATGTTGCTGTGATGTTTGCACTTCCGCACACACTAACTTTATATGCACACCGTCTATGTTGCTGTGATGGTTGTATGCACTCCTGCATATATAATATACATGTGTATATATATATATATATATA